TGTATGTATGTATGTATGTATGTATGTATGTATGTATGTATGTATGTATGTATGTATGTATGTATGTATGTATGTATGTATGTATGTATGTATGTATGTATGTATGTATGTATGTATGTATGTATGTATGTATGTATGTATGTATGTATGTATGTGTGTGTGTGTGTATGTGTATGTGTGTGTGTGTGTGTGTGTTTGTGTATTGTATGTATGTATGTATGTATGTATGTATTGTATGTATTGTATGTATGTATGTATGTATGTATGTATGTATGTCTGTATGTATGTATGTATGTATGTGTGTGTGTGTGTGTGTGTGTGTGTGTGTGTATGTATGTATGTATGTATGTATGTATGTATGTATGTATGTATGTATGTATGTATGTATGTATGTATGTATGTATGTATGTATGTATGTATGTATGTATGTATGTATGTATGTATGATGTATGTATGTATGTATGTATGTATGTATGTATGTATGTATGTATGTATGTATGTATGTATGTATGTATGTATGTATGTATGTATGTATGATGTATGTATTGTATGTATGTATGTATGTATGTATGTATGTATGTATGTATGTATGTATGTATGTATGTATGTATGTATGTATGTATGTATGTATGTATGTATGTATGTATGTATGTATGTTTATGGTGTATTATATTTATGTCTGACCACCATGTTGTCTTGGTAGAAGACTTATATAGGCTTTAGCACGCTGTCCAATCCTACTGATTGTTTATATCAATACAATATTCTGAAATGAAAATATCAACATCATTCAGGGTCCCTAGGTAGCAGTAGTTTCTTGGTGTTGGATATGTTTGTTCTGGTATTACCCAGTATACCCAATATGCTGTAGAGGACAATGTGGGGCTTCGTATTTTTTTGAATGAAAAAATAAATGTTGATAGGATATCACTTTTAAGCCGGTCTTAGTCTATGTTTACACACTATAAGCTAGCTTTACAGGATTCTGGATCTCCATAGTAGCAACACGTATTTAAGTCGTTCCCATTTAGGCTTTGCTGAAACGCGAGTAATCCCGTTTTTTATAAGTCAGAGATTTATTTGATTACGCAAATATAGCTGTTTATCTAGTTTATAAAATATGTATGCATATGAAGTTGTATTTTCATATCAAATCTCGTATACCTGTATATATCAAATAAAATCTCCTCTTTTCTTTCTCCCCTCCCCCCCAAAAATGTTTCCTGCTACAATTTCACTAGAAAACACTAATAGAAAACTAGTGTTTGATGGCTGGCTAACTAATAGTTCCGCATATCTTATTCCTAGATAATAATTTGATGAAAATAATATTTAGATGAAATAACATGTGATTGTATTAAAAATGAGATGAATACATTGAATTACAAAAGATGTGAGTTAATGGAAGTACGTTTTAGAACTTACATGTGCATGTAGATGTGGTTCCTGTGTTAGGATTTGTTTGAGAAACCCTCCATTAACAATATATTTAGTTACAGTTGTAGATATGGTTCCTGTGTTAGGATTTGTTTGAGAAACCCTCCATTAACAATATATTTAGTTACAGTTGTAGATGTGGTTCCTGTGTTAGGATTTGTTTGAGAAACCCTCCATTAACAATATATTTAGTTACAGTTGTAGGTGTGGTTCCTGTATTTAGATTTGTTTGAGAAACCCTCCATTAACAATATATTTAGTTACAGTTGTAGATGTGGTTCCTGTATTACGATTTGTTTGAGAAACCCTCCGGTAACAATATATTTAGTTACAGTTGTAGATGTGGTTCCTGTGTTAGGATTTGTTTGAGAAACCCTCCATTAACAATATATTTAGTTACAGTTGTAGATGTGGTTCCTGTGTAAGGATTTGTTTGAGAAACCCTTCATTAACAATATATTTAGTTACAGTTGTAGATGTGGTTCCTGTGTTAGGATTTGTTTGAGAAACCCTCCATTAACAATATATTTAGTTACAGTTGTAGGTGTGGTTCCAGTATTAAGATTTGTTTGAGAAACCCTCCATTAACAATATATTTAGTTACAGTTGTAGGTGTGGTTCCAGTATTAAGATTTGTTTGAGAAACCCTCCATTAACAATATATTTAGTTACAGTTGTAGATGTGGTTCCTGTGTTAGGATTTGTTTGAGAAACCCCCATTAACAATATATTTAGTTACAGTTGTAGGTGTGGTTCCAGTATTAAGATTTGTTTGAGAAACCCTCCATTAACAATATATTTAGTTACAGTTGTAGGTGTGGTTCCTGTATTAAGATTTGTTTGAGAAACCCCCCATTATAGTATGTTTAGTTACAGTTGTAGGTGTGGTTCCTGTGTTAAGATTTGTTTGAGAAACCCCCATTAACAATATATTTAGTTACAGTTGTAGGTGTGGTTCCTGTATCAAGATTTGTTTGAGAAACCCCCCATTAACAATATATTTAGTTACAGTTGTAGGTGTGGTTCCAGTATTAAGATTTGTTTGAGAAACCCTTCATTAACAATATATTTAGTTACAGTTGTAGGTGTGGTTCCAGTATTAAGATTTGTTTGAGAAACCCCCATTAACAATATATTTAGTTACAGTTGTAGGTGTGGTTCCTGTATTAAGATTTGTTTGAGAAACCCCCAATTATAGTATGTTTAGTTACAGTTGTAGGTGTGGTTCCTGTATTTAGATTTGTTTGAGAAACCCTCCATTAACAATATATTTAGTTACAGTTGTAGGTGTGGTTCCAGTATTAAGATTTGTTTGAGAAACCCTCCATTAACAATATATTTAGTTACAGTTGTAGGTGTGGTTCCAGTATTAAGATTTGTTTGAGAAACCCTCCATTAACAATATATTTAGTTACAGTTGTAGATGTGGTTCCTGTGTTAGGATTTGTTTGAGAAACCCCCATTAACAATATATTTAGTTACAGTTGTAGGTGTGGTTCCAGTATTAAGATTTGTTTGAGAAACCCTCCATTAACAATATATTTAGTTACAGTTGTAGGTGTGGTTCCAGTATTAAGATTTGTTTGAGAAACCCCCATTAACAATATATTTAGTTACAGTTGTAGGTGTGGTTCCTGTATTAAGATTTGTTTGAGAAACCCCCATTAACAATATATTTAGTTACAGTTGTAGGTGTGGTTCCTGTATCAAGATTTGTTTGAGAAACCCCCCATTAACAATATGTTTAGTTACAGTTGTAGGTGTGGTTCCAGTATTAAGATTTGTTTAAGAAACCCTTCATTAACAATATATTTAGTTACAGTTGTAGGTGTGGTTCCAGTATTAAGATTTGTTTGAGAAACCCCCATTAACAATATATTTAGTTACAGTTGTAGGTGTGGTTCCTGTATTAAGATTTGTTTGAGAAACCCCCCATTATAGTATGTTTAGTTACAGTTGTAGGTGTGGTTCCTGTATTTAGATTTGTTTGAGAAACCCCCCATTAACAATATGATAGTTACAGTTGTAGGTGTGGTTCCAGTATTAAGATTTGTTTGAGAAACCCTCCATTAACAATATATTTAGTTACAGTTGTAGGTGTGGTTCCAGTATTAAGATTTGTTTGAGAAACCCTCCATTAACAATATGATAGTTACAGTTGTAGGTGTGGTTCCAGTATTAAGATTTATTTGAGAAACCCTCCATTAACAATATATTTAGTTACAGTTGTAGGTGTGGTTCCTGTGTTAAGATTTGTTTGAGAAACCCTTCATTAACAATATATTTAGTTACAGTTGTAGGTGTGGTTCCAGTATTAAGATTTGTTTGAGAAACCCCCCATTATAGTATGTTTAGTTACAGTTGTAGGTGTGGTTCCTGTATTTAGATTTGTTTGAGAAACCCTCCATTAACAATATATTTAGTTACAGTTGTAGGTGTGGTTCCTGTATTAAGATTTGTTTGAGAAACCCTCCATTAACAATATATTTAGTTACAGTTGTAGGTGTGGTTCCTGTGTTAAGATTTGTTTGAGAAACCCTTCATTAACAATATATTTAGTTACAGTTGTAGGTGTGGTTCCTGTATTAAGATTTGTTTGAGAAACCCTTCATTAACAATATATTTAGTTACAGTTGTAGGTGTGGTTCCAGTATTAAGATTTGTTTGAGAAACCCCCCATTATAGTATGTTTAGTTACAGTTGTAGGTGTGGTTCCTGTATTTAGATTTGTTTGAGAAACCCTCCATTAACAATATATTTAGGTACAGTTGTAGGTGTGGTTCCAGTATTAAGATTTGTTTGAGAAACCCTTCATTAACAATATATTTAGTTACAGTTGTAGGTGTGGTTCCTGTGTTAAGATTTGTTTGAGAAACCCTTCATTAACAATATATTTAGTTACAGTTGTAGGTGTGGTTCCAGTATTAAGATTTGTTTGAGAAACCCCCCATTATAGTATGTTTAGTTACAGTTGTAGGTGTGGTTCCTGTATTTAGATTTGTTTGAGAAACCCTCCATTAACAATATATTTAGTTACAGTTGTAGGTGTGGTTCCAGTATTAAGATTTGTTTGAGAAACCCTTCATTAACAATATATTTAGTTACAGTTGTAGGTGTGGTTCCAGTATTAAGATTTGTTTGAGAAACCCCCCATTATAGTATGTTTAGTTACAGTTGTAGGTGTGGTTCCTGTGTTAAGATTTGTTTGAGAAACCCTCCATTAATAATATATTTAGTTACAGTTGTAGGTGTGGTTCCAGTATTAAGATTTGTTTGAGAAACCCCCCCATTATAGTATGTTTAGTTACAGGCGTGGTTCCAGTATTATATTGTGCCTGATTTACCTTGAATTACGTTATGTCTAGCTACCCATCTTGTGAAGAAATTTATGTAAAAGTAACAATGGTAAACACTTCGAAAGATGTTTTCTGTTGTTACACAACAAGTCGTGTTTGATGGGAAGCAACAAAGAATATTGGTATACAGGGTTTTGATAAAGACACAAGGATATCATATAATACCATTCTCTTACTCCTAATTATTAATTTAAAAATATAAATTACCATTAGTGGAGCCCAACACATAGCGAAGACTGTAGTCAGTACACACATCAGTATGATCATCTGTAGCTCAAGGTCCTTCTGGTTTCTTTTCTTCCGACGATACCTCCGCCCACCATTTACTTCACAAACTTCCAGGCTTCCATTTTGAGACAAGGCAACTCTTTTCAGGTACCTTACCCGTAAAAGGGCAAACATGACGTAACAGTTACACGACGTCATGATAAGCACAACAGCGAGGTTTACAGAAGCATAAAGATAACCATATGAATTAGCAATAGGATTGTTACTATGGAAATCAAGAAAGCACCATGTACAAGGATACTGAACCGTGTAGGTACCGACACCGAAAAGGGGGAGGACTCCAAACAGCAACACAACTATCCATAACGTTATCAGAATAATCCGTGCACATCCATAGTTACATCGTTGGGAATGTATAAGGGGGTATTTAATGGCCAGAAACCTCTCAATGGCCATTGCACACACAATTAGTGGAGTAGATAATCCAAAACATATCATAACAAATCCATTAAATTTACACAGTATGTCTCCTCCGACCCATTTCCGTCCATTGCTGTAGGACAGGATGGTAACAGGGGACGTAAGGATGATTCCAGACAAATCCGTCCAAGCTAATCCGGCCACTAATGTATAAAAGACACTCGAACTTTTGTTCTTATGGAGAACATACAGAGCCAAGATGTTCCCAATGATCCCAGCGGATCCCATTAACACTGGGGATATAATAGTTGCCCCTCGATGATGGGTTCCGAAAGTCTCGTTATCTCTGTCTTCATAGTCGGAATAATTACAAATGGTCGGGAGAGTAAAAGATGATGGTTCTGCCATGATGTGTTGCAGATCGCTTGTGTTTGAGCTCGGAGAGAGATAGTGGCTAGTCATCGTGTAATGCTGTGACGTACCGCACTCTGGAGTTATGTCTCCGACAACCCTTTGTCACTCTCCGTCGGTTGAAAGGTCCTTCCCGTGTATATTCTGTGTTCCAACATCCTGCCGTTACTGTCAATCTGAATGGTATAACTGAAAGTACAAGAGCCAGGCATTAATTTGGTGAATCAATCTCTTGAGGTTTTCGGTATATAACCAATTCCAAATGGTATGAAGTGTTGATGATCCCGCAAAATTAATTATGACCGCTCTGATAGCACTCCAACTGAACATTCCCACTAGATTGGTCGGTAACTGAGTATATTTAATAATCTTAAATATACATCATTAATCGATGGTTAGTGTTGTAGTATTAACGGCAATCCAAATATCATCATGACAGTTAGGCCGAACAATGTCAGAATACACTGGCTGCATGGCCACACAATACGCGTGTTGTTACGCTCTCTAAACCAAGCGAGACCACATAGACAATACCGTTAATGTAATAATAGATGTGTTTTGTTTCAAATGTTCGAGCGATCTCGTTAACGATTGGAGAAGAGGTTTATTATACGCTATACCAAAAACTTTCAACGTCAAATGTCAAAATTATAACGACCAACGCAGGTTAATAGGTAAATTCCGGACAATAACATCGATCGATATCAAGAAAATAAATCTGTTGGTAAATATGTACTTAGTGTTGGTCTTATGTGTGGCACTACACTATTGGTACCCGGTAACGTGTGGACACGATTATAGAACAGGTATTCTACAGACAGGGGGCTTTAACGTAACTCGTTTATTCATCGTACTGTGCCATACTTCAATGCGCGTTCCTTCTCGTAGAGGCAATATTCAGTGTTATACAATAATTTACATCACATATGCTTCAGTTTGTATGCATATATTGTAAGATATTCCCTTTGAATATAGTTCACGTTTTCTTGAGTGCAAAGCCCAAGTAATACATATTTATTATGTTGGTGCATTTGAAAAATAATTAATTAATTAGCACGTTCTTTGATGTAAGACATTCTGACATTACACAAGACGATCCCATTTTCAAATTGGCCGCTTTACGCGGTACACATTTTCTAGTGTTATTTGGTAAGAATCACTTTCAAAACTGTTTTCAAATACAAAATTTAAGAAAAGCAGAACTATAAAAAAAAAAAAAAAATTGAAAAAAACGACTTATTCAACATTCAGATCATTTGCATTCGAATAGGAAAATCGGCTAATTTCAATGAAGATTTGGTTGATGGACACTACAATAGTTATATCATCACTGTTAATGATGTAAGATGTTTTATATCATCACTGTTAATGATGTAAGATGTTTTATATCATCAATGTTAATGGTGTAAGATGTTTTTATATCATCAATGTTAATGGTGTAAGATGTTTTTATATCATCAATGTTAATGGTGTAAGATGTTTTTATACCATCACTGTTAATGAGGTAAAATGTTTTATATCATCACTGTTAATGATGTAAGATGTTTTATACCATCACTGTTAATGATGTAAGATGTTTTTATATCATCAATGTTAATGGTGTAAGATGTTTTTATATCATCAATGTTAATGGTGTAAGATGTTTTTATATCATCACTGTTAATGATGTAAAATGTTTTATATCATCACTGTTAATGATATAAGATGTTTTTATATTATCACTGTTAATGGTGTAAGATGTTTTTATATCATCACTGTTAATGATGTAAGATGTTTTTATATCATCACTGTTAATGATGTAAGATGTTTTTATATCATCACTGTTAATGGTGTAAGATGTTTTTATATCATCACTGTTAATGATGTAAGATGTTTTTATATCATCAATGTTAAGTATGTAAGATGTTTTATATCATCAATGTTAATGATGTAATGATGTGATTTTTATATCATCAATGTTAATGATGTAAGATGTTTTTTATATCATCAATGTTAATGATGTAAGATGTTTTTATATCATCACTGTTAATGTTAATGTTTTTATATCATCACTGTTAAGATGTTTTTATATCATCTGTTAATGATGTAAGATGTTTTTATATTATCACTGTTAATGATGTAAGATGTTTTATATCATCACTGTTAATGAGGTAAAATGTTTTTATATCATCACTATTAATGGTGTAAGATGTTTTATATCATCACTGTTAATGATGTAAGATGTTTTTATCATCACTGTTAATGGTGTATTATGTTTAATATCATCACTGTTAATGATGTAAGATGTTTTTATATCATCACTGTTAATGGTGTAATGTTTTTATGTTAATGGTGTAAGATGTTTTTATATCATCAATGTTAATGGTGTAAGATGTTTTTATATATCATCACTGTTAATGGTGTAAGATGTTTTTATATCATCAATGTTAATGATGTAAGATGTTTTTATATCATCACAGTTAATGATGTAAGATGTTTTATATCATCAATGTTAATGGTGTAAGATGTTTTTATATCATCAATGTTAATGGTGTAAGATGTTTTATATCATCAATGTTAATGTGTAAGATGTTTTTATATCATCACTGTTAATGGTGTAAGATGTTTTATATCATCACTGTTAATGATGTAAGATGTTTTATATCATCACTGTTAATGGTGTAAGATGTTTTTATATCATCACTGTTAATGATGTAAGATGTTTTTATCATCAATGTTAATGATGTAAGATGTTTTTATATCATCACTGTTAATGGTGTAAGATGTTTTTATATCATCACTGTTAATGGTGTAAGATGTTTTTATATCATCACTGTTAATGATGTAAGATGTTTTTATATCATCACTGTTAATGATGTAAGATGTTTTTATATCATCACTGTTAATGATGTAAGATGTTTTTATATCATCATATAAAATGTTTTTATATCATCACTGTTAATGATGTAAGATGTTTTTATATCATCACTGTTAATGATGTTTTTATATCATCACTGTTAATGATGTAAGATGTTTTTATATCATCACTGTTAATGATGTAAGATGTTTTTTATGTTTTTATATCATCACTGTTAATGATGTAAGATGTTTTTATATATCATAAGATGTTTTTATTAATGATGATGAAGATGTTTTTATATCATCACTGTTAATGATGTAAGATGTTTTTATATCATCACTGTTAATGATGTAAGATGTTTTTATACCATCAATGTTAATGATGTAAGATGTTTTTATATCATCAATGTTAATGATGTAAGATTTTTAATATCATCAATGTTAATGGTGTAAGATGTTTTTATATCATCACTGTTAATGATGTAAGATGTTTTTATATCATCACTGTTAATGATGTAAGATGTTTTTATACCATCAATGTTAATGATGTAAGATGTTTTTATATCATCACTGTTAATGATGTAAGATGTTTTATATCATCACTGTTAATTGATGTAAGATGTTTTTATATCATCACTGTTAATGATGTAAGATGTTTTTATACCATCACTGTTAATGGTGTAAGATGTTTTTATATCATCACTGTTAATGATGTAAGATGTTTTTATATCATCACTGTTAATGTTTTTATATGTACTGTTAATGATGTTTTTATATCATCACTGTTAATGATGTAAGATGTTTTTATATCATCACTGTTAATGATGTAAGATGTTTTTATATCATCACTGTTAATGATGTAAGATGTTTTTATATCATCACTGTTAATGATGTAAGATGTTTTTATATCATCACTGTTAATGATGTAAGATGTTTTATATCATCACTGTTAATGGTGTAAGATGTTTAATATCATCACTGTTAATGATGTAAGATGTTTTTATATCATCACTGTTAAGGATGTTAGATGTTTTTATATCATCACTGTTAATGGTGTAAGATGTTTTATATCATCAATGTTAATGATGTAAGATGTTTTTATATCATCACTGTTAATGATGTAAGATGTTTTTATATCATCACTGTTAATGTTAATGTTTTTATATCATCACTGTTAATGATGTAAGATGTTTTTATATCATCACTGTTAATGATGTAAGATGTTTTTATATCATCACTGTTAATGATGTAAGATGTTTTTATATCATCACTGTTAATGATGTAAGATGTTTTTTTTATATCATCACTGTTAATGATGTAAGATGTTTTTATATCATCACTGTTAATGATGTAAGATGTTTTATATCATCACTGTTAATGGTGTAAGATGTTTATATTATCAATGTTAATGATGTAAGATGTTTTTATATCATCACTGTTAAGGATGTTAGATGTTTTATATCATCACTGTTAATGGTGTAAGATGTTTTTATATCATCACTGTTAATGGTGTAAGATGTTTTTATATCATCACTGTTAATGGTGTAAGATGTTTTTATATCATCAATGTTAAGTATGTAAGATGTTTTATATCATCACTGTTAATGATGTAAGATGTTTTTATATCATCACTGTTAATGATGTAAGATGTTTTTATATCATCACTGTTAATGATGTAAGATGTTTTATATCATCAATGTTAATTGTAAGATGTTTTTATATCATCACTGTTAATGATGTAAGATGTTTTTATATCATCACTGTTAATGATGTAAGATGTTTTTATATCATCACTGTTAATGGTGTAAGATGTTTTTATATCATCAATGTTAATGATGTAAGATGTTTTTATATCATCACTGTTAATGATGTAAGATGTTTTTATATCATCAATGTTAATGATGTAAGATGTTTTATATCATCAATGTTAATGATGTAAGATGTTTTATATCATCAATGTTAATGATGTAAGATGTTTTAATATCATCAATGTTAATGGTGTAAGATGTTTTTATATCATCACTGTTAATGATGTAAGATGTTTTTATATCATCACTGTTAATGATGTAAGATGTTTTTATATCATCACTGTTAAGGATGTTAGATGTTTTATATCATCACTGTTAATGGTGTAAGATGTTTTTATATCATCAATGTTAATGATGTAAGATGTTTTTATATCATCACTGTTAATGATGTAAGATGTTTTTATATCATCACTGTTAATGATGTAAGATG